AGAGAGAGAGAGAGAGAGAGAGAGAGAGAGAGAGAGAGAGAGAGAGAGAGAGAGAGAGAGAGAGAGAGAGAGAAGGGGGGAGGGAACACGTGGAGTCGGGATGGGGAGAAGGGGTAGAGTCAGGGAGGGCAGAGGGGAAAGAGTCGGGATGGGGATGGCCGGAACGGGCACAGAGACACACAGAGAGAGAGAGAGAGAGAGAGAGAGAGAGAGAGAGAGAGAGAGAGAGAGAGAGAGAGTTTGGATCGGGCAATTGCCTCCACCATGAATGCATCACCAGTCGCATTTGTTTTTGCGAGCCAAGCCGCAACAGGTCATCTAGTCATCATGTGTTTTATTATTTATTATCTCAAATATAACTTATAAGCTAGGTTACTTTGCACACCCGATTCTGCAGCATAATTATCCAGCCTACGGAAGTTGCCCAAGGGCTCATCTCCCTGAGGCACCTCGCGCAGACAAAAAACAGCTCTTTTTATTTAATATTTATAATTTTTAGTAAAACATCATCTTCATGAGTCTGAGGTACAAGTTGTTTTTGCACAAATTTTCTACATAACACTTTGTTTTCGGTTATTTGAGAACGAATTACCTTTAATTCTATGTTGTTTCGCCGGGCACACAAACCGACTAAATCTGCCCGAAAGACAGCCCAGCCGCCGGGCTTGTTTTAGACCCAGTGACCAGCCCGCTTCATGGGGTGCAACTCCTAGAGCTGCAATGGAGCTTGGAAAAAAAATAATCTGCTAATTTTATGAGTTTTTTGTKAGTCTGTTTTGAGTCTGTTTCTCAGTYTGTTGAGTCCGTAGATTTGTTCGAGTCTGTCTAATTCTGTTCCGAACCAGTTTGGAATTTCCTTTGAGTCTGTGAATGGACTTGTTGATGTCTGTTTGAGCATGTTTTAAGTCTGTGTGAGTTTGTGTGACTCTGCTTGAAGTCTGGTTTTAGCGAATCCTTAAAATTTAAATGAAATTCAGCTCAAATTCGGATAGAGTCAGGTGAGCCCAGAAGACCCCCCCCCAAAAAAAAAACAAAGGGCTGATACAATTTTTTATCGTAAATCCATTGATAGAGACCATTAAGAAAATTAACTCGTATTTTCTATTACATGTTCTTCAAAAACAAAATTGGCAGGTTCAAGATTCTTTCTGGTTTCATCTTCTTGAAGAGGCACATGCTCACCCTGCAAGTTGTGACGAAGATCTGTGCGGCCGGTATTGTCAGATTGACGGGCACTTCAAAGTTTGTCGAGCAAGGTGTCAAGTGAAGGATGTTCAATTATATCATACTGCAATTGGCAAAGTGGTCAAAGGATGCCCAGAGACACCAGTCCAAGGAGGGAAACTGTGTGTTGCACATTTGAACGAGAGGAAGAACGCAGCAAAGAACAATAATCATCGAGGAGAGAGTTCTACATCAAACGAGCTTCTTGCACGAACAGAGGAACTAATTGCTTCACGCACTCGTCTGCAATTTTCAACACGAATGGCAGACGCAGAATGCATCATCAAATCTGAAATTTTCGCAAAGGTAATATATAGTCAATAATTCTTGAAAACTCGATATGTAATCTTTTGTAACTTTCAAGAAGGATTATTTATTTTGCTAGTTCACCATGAAACATCTTTTCTTCTTCTAGATTAGCTAGTTAAATGTTTTTCTCAACCCATAGTGTTGATTTACAATTTTTCATATGGACTTTGATTTGTATTATCATTGTTTTTCTCACTTCTGCATAAGAATAAGTGCTATCTAATATCATATATTCTGCCCTCTGAATTCAATCCACATCTTTCCTATAGTGAACCTATATTGTTTGTAGTGCTCCTTCTAGTGATGCAATTGCCGACTTCAACTGTAGGACATTGAATCATCCATTCACGACCCTGCACTCTCCTTGCCATCTTTTTCTTTTGTCTTGTTTGTAAATCTTGCAGAAAAATTGGTACCTTGTTAAATGGAAATCGCAACCATATTCAAACTCGATATGGTGCCCGGAGGAAGATTTTGTTGGCAAACATGCAGAAGAAATCATGAAGCGTTTCAAGGATGCAGAATTACCTATGGACTTTTATGAAGACATTCAAATAGAGGAAGACAAGCTTGAGGATGTAGCAGAACGGCAGAGAGCATCAGGGCTACATAGGATGACATGCACATCACGGAAACTTGATGAGGAAAAGCAGAACACTTGTGGATCAGTGCACTGTTTTTGGGCTTGTGGCTTCATGTTTCCTCCAATGGAAATGATTCTTGCTGAATCATGTACACAGGTATAACATCAGCTTATCCAATGTTCGGCCCAGATCTAGTAAATCATGTATTTACAATTTTGTTATTTGATTATGATAAAAAAATTAAATGTTTTATTGAATCATATCTAATACTTAAATTATGCGTGTCCATCTTCGTCTTTCCTGCAGGTGTATCACTATCTTTTGACGCTCTTTGCAAACCATCCATTCCCGGAGTTCATTGGTTACGATGACATGTGTCATTTTCTCCGATTTCCGTTGAATGAAAAGCGAAGGAATGTGACACTGAAGACAACAGAATTTACAGATGTGCAAAAGATTCATCATCTTGGTAAGACACTTCACTTTGTTCTTAAAGCATATATATATACCATGGCTACCATCCGGATATCCGGACAGGCGTCCAGACGGTCTGCTGTCCGGTGTCTGGACGCCGGACCGTAGGAGGCCCGTCCGGAAGGGGCCGAAACCCCAAAATTCAAAAAACAAAGGGAGCACCCTGGACCTGTTCCTTGGGTCCAGGGCGCCCCCTGAAAAATGTTTGATGATTTTTGGGACCGGTATTGACCGTACAGGGCAGCAGGACAGGCCCCTTTTCTACTTGCATCCTGGCAGACCGTTGGATGCAGAGCGCGGTTCCCCAGTGACAAAGGGAAGAAAGGACAGATCTGGGCACTTCAGGGTGCTTTCCCGCTCACCTGCCGCCTCCACCACACACAGGCACACACACACACACAGAGGGAGAGGGAGAGAGAGCCCTCGTTACCATTGTGGACTGGTGCACATATGTGCGCACATGCAAGATAGATAGATAGATAGATAGATAGATAGATAGAGAGAGAGAGAGAGAGAGAGAGAGAGAGAGAGAGAGAGAGAGTTGAATGACAAGTATCACTGCACAGGAGTGTATTACTGGAGCAAGGAGAGTATCCCAGTACCCTCTAGCAAGTTGGATGCTTTCTCTTGAATACATGAGGAATGTGTCCAATGAAGCTATGCTGCACAAGTGTCTGCATGTGCGCTGCTGGCTGGGGCGCACGAGGGCGCTAAGAGGTGCGAGGGGCGCTGCAGGGCAGCGGGCGCACGGCAGCCATGATCGGGCTGCAGGGGCGCACGGCAGCCATGATCGGGCTGCAGGGGCGCAATGCGGTTGATAGACGAAGGTGGTCTTCGGGTAGGAGGCGCATGAGGTATGGGGTCCAAGAGTGATGAGGGGGGGAGAGAACGTACCTGGTGTATGCTGGTGGTCAGCATTGGTGTTGACGTCACGTACAACGGTTTTCCACTTCAGAGTGACTTGGTTGCAAGAGCGTAGATAGGCTAGATAGACTGAGTAGGATAGGATGGGCGCTGGGTGCCGGACGGAGAGAGAGAGACATGGGATACAGTGTTGGTGTGACCAGAGTGTGGCAACAGTAACATTTGAGTTCGTTGTATTGCTCTTATTTGTATGGTATCTTGGTGAATTGAGCTCTCTGCYTGGGTCATGACTATCTGAGCTACTTCGCGATTTTGCAACTTGGTTTTCTGTCTATCGCTCTTGCTCATATTCCTTTGCACCTGCCATTTTTTGTGTTTTTTTTCTTCAATCTGGGACCGATCCGGACATGATTATCCGGACCATCCGGACTAATCCGGACCATGTCCGGACAGTCCGGACTGGTCTGGAAATCTGGACGTCCGGATCATATTCAGACCGACTGGTTGTCTGGGTCCGGATTGGTCCGGTGTCCGCGTCCGCGATAGCCATGATATATACAGAGAAAGAGAGTTTGTCGTTGCTTTTTCTCTTTCTTTCCTAACATGCCCTTCGTCAATTTTTTTTTCCCGTTGTTCCATCGTCTCTTTTCTTACTCCCCATTTGAACCATTTCCGTTTTGATTTTGAGATAACGAGAGAAAGAGAGAAAAAAAGGGTT